GAATGGCATTCATTCAGCGAGGGAATATTTAGGAACAATGGAAGAACATAAAAAGGAAACAAAATTGCCCTAATTCTCTTGGGTAGATACCCACTAATGAGATTTTGTCAGGCCTGCTATGGCTTCCCCAGATCACTACACTGAAACCCTAATCTTATGTAGATGGCGTTAGGAGCTTGGCCTTCGAGAGTTAAGTCATGAAGGTAGAATCCATGAGTAAGGTTACTTTCCTTAAGCTCCAGGATGCTCCTTTGTCCCTTCTACCATGTCATGTTGGAGTCTGTGAAGAAGTATGCTCTCAGTGACACAAAATGTGTTGTCACCTAGATTTTCTATGCTAATAGAGACATAAATTTCTCATACTTTAAGCCACCTCATTTGTGGAATCCCTAGGGGACTAAGATAGCAACTGTTGATCTTTTTTAAAAGCACATAAATTATAATGTTTTGCTTTCAAAAGGAAGGATTTTATTAAACCAGGACATCTTATTGTATAAAACATACTGTGAAGCAGAAAAACTATCTTACATGATTACACACTGCTTTTCAACTTTTCATTGATATGTGATATGTTTCATTGATATGTGTAATGTTTCATTGATATGTAACATTATGGTGCATATGTGTTTTGCATAAATCTCTGTGCTCATTCAATTGATAATAATTTTAAAATGCATTTCTTGGTATAGGATTACTGAATTAAACAGTATAAATATTTTCAGATCTTTGGCAATGTCCAGACTACACTGATTACTATAATAATATTATGCTACCAACTTTTAGAGCTGAAGAGAAGATCCATTTTATCCTGTTATTGTGCTCACAAATACACGTTAAAGTTCTATCAGCTTTATGTGAAATATATTGTATTGGCTATAACCACAGCATTGTTTTTAATAAGTTTCACTTTGAAAACTGCTCAGAAAATCTTTAGAAAAAAACAAATCATTTTGTGAAGACTAACAGTCCACAAATTTTTCATACTGAAATTAGAATTACAGCTGATTTTTAGAAACATGGAGAGATTTGATTTCAAGAGCCTCTATTTTTTTCTTTTTAGAATTTTGCTTCAGGGCACTATGAGAAAGCACTGCTTGCCATCTGTGCTGGTGATGTGGAAGACTACTAAAATAAGTAAAGATTTGAAGGTCTTGAAACCCTCTTTACAGACACCTCAGATACAAACTGTTGAACTTGTGCTGTTATTGACACTGAAACAAAACTATAAAATCATACTTTTCTTCTATCTCTAAAATTATTCTAAGACCAAAAAATCTTCTCTTGAAAATATGTAATCCTGGATTTGCACCCCTTCCTCAATTAGTAATTAATTAAATTATGTGTGATGAAATAAGAAAAACATTGCATTGGAGTCGATTTTATTTAAATGTGAACTGTCAGTACCTACAAGAAAGTCTGATCATGACTGTCTCTGGTATCAGCCTGAAATCTATAACACTGAAGTGTGTGATCACCCTAAGTGTGTGCCTACCCTCATGGGAATTGCCTACACTCTTGAACAAACACAATAAAGCTGAAATGAGGCCCTAGAACAGCCTGTGAATGAAAGTAGTTGAAAGTCAAGTATACCAAGAGATATACTTACTCGATTATTTACTTGTACAAGATATTTAGAAGGAAGAGTAAGGGTTCACATGAATCTATGTGTGTACCTTGATTGTGCTAATGTCACTCCAGTAAAGCTAATTAAGATATTTTTTAAGCCGGGCGTTGGTGGCGCACGCCTTTAATCCCAGCACTCGGGAGGCAGAGCCAGGCGGATCTCTGTGAGTTCGAGGCCAGCCTGGGCTACCAAGTGAGCTCCAGGAAAGGCGCAAAGCTACACAGAGAAACCCTGTCTCGAAAAACCAAAAAAAAAAAAAAAAAAAAAAAAAAAAAAAAAAAAAAAAAAAAGATATTTTTTAAAATGTTCTTTCTTTAATTTTTGGAGAAAGGCTGGACACATATGTACCATGGCACATGTGCTCACCTTGCTCTCTTCAAACTCATGGCCTCTTTTTTTTAGTTGTTGTTGGTGTTGTTGTTGTTGGTGGTGGTGGTGGTGGTGGTGGTGGTGTGTGTGTGTGTGTGTATTCCTCAATATATGAATACAATCTGCTCAGTCCATATAATGCTACTTGCAGATATATGAGATGAGGCCAAGCCACTCAGTATTGGATGTCCAGCCAGGGGGCTTTTCCCAGGGAAAGCCCATTTCTACTGCTCTCAACATTAATTAGTTGCCTACAGTCTTTTTCTAGGGCTGTGGCCTCATGAGATTTTCCCCTTGCATGTTAGCATGTCCATTAGTGTCCTTGCTCTGATCATTTTAGGCAGGCATCTTGATGGAACTTTATGATCATAGCTTCTGACACTGTTAAGAAACACAATCTCACAGCAAGCTTCCTGATCCTCTGGCTCTTACAATCTTTCTGTTCATCTTCTGTAATGATGCGAGAGCCTTAGATGCAGGAGTTGTGTTGTAGATGTGTCAGTTGAGGCTGTGTACCACATGATCACTTATTCCCTACATTTTGGTTGGTTGTGGTTTTCTGTAGTAGTCTCTGTGGCAAAGAGACATTTCTTTGGCAAGGGTGATATCGACACTTGGATATGAAGATTTTAAGGTAGGAACAACAGATGACCTCAGTCTTTCTGGACCTGGGTTATCTCACTCAATATGATCTTTGCTAATTTCATCTATTTACCTGCAAATGTCATACTTTCAGTTTTTGTGAAGTTGAATAGTATTTCACAATAAATACATACAGATTTTTCATTGTCCACACATCGGGTGAAAGGCATTTCGGCTGTTTCCATTTTCTAGCTCTTGTGAATAGTGCAGCAGTGAACATGGCTGAGCAAGGAACTGGGGGGGTTACTGTTGAGTCCTTTGGGCTTACACTGAGAAGTCGTATCCTTAGGTCAGATGGAGATTTATTTTTTTAACTTTTGAGGTTCCTCAAACTGATTTCTAGGGTAGCTGGACCAGTTTGCAACCAACTTGGCCTTCCTCTTCACTCAGTTGATAGTGTTCTTTAGCTGTGCAGAAGTGTTTTAGGCGTATAAAGTCCCACTTGCTGATGGTTGGTCTCAATTCCTGGGCAAATGGGGTTCCACTCAAAGTCATCTCCTACATCCATATCCTATATGGTTCTGCCTATGTTGTCTTCTAGCAGTTTTTACAGCTATACACAGAAGATTTTCTATACACATAAAACAGACATACTGATAAAGAGATCATGAATACCCCTCCATTGGCAACAGCCTCAAAAAAGAAATGTCTAGTAATAAACCTAACTAAATAGGTGAAAGACTTATACAATAAAAACTTTAAATTTCTGAAGGAAGATGGAGAAAACACTAGAAAATGAAAAGACATTCCACACTTATTGATTGGTAGAATTGATACTACAGAAATGACCATTCTACCAACAGCTCTCTGCAGATCCAACACAATTCCCTGTGAAAATCTGAATCTCATTCTTCACAGTAATACAAAAACTATCCTACAATTCACATGGAATCACAATGAACCCCTGATACCTAAAACATCCCTTAACAAAAAGAACAATGTTGGAGGGACTAACATTCTAGACTTCAAGACAGATTACAGAGACATAGTAATCAAGGCAAATATGGTACAGACACAAAAACAGACATGAGGGCCAATGGAATAAAATCAAAGACCCAAACATGTGTACATATAACTATAGAGATCTCATATTCAGCAAAGATGCCAAAACAGATACTAAAGACAAGACAGCAAATGGTTCTGGGCAAACTGGATGTCCATATGTGGCAGAACAAAATTAGACCTGTATCTATCACCTTGCATGAAACTGATTTCAAGTGGCTCAAAGACCTAAATGTGAAACCTGAAACCACTAGAAGAAATATAGGCAGTACTTCTGTGAACAGTGAGAGGAGTGAACTCCATGCAAAGAGACCCGGGAGACAGGGTAAAGCATGTCTACCTTGAACTCACTTTCTCCAGTGAAGAAGCCACTTAAATCTGGGACTCTATTCCATGTGTGAAACCTACCAACTTGGAAGGACAAGTATCACAGCTCAGGATACCCATTTCTTTTATTGTCTGGTTTTTCTCTTCTGTGGGGGTCCAGGGAATCTTCATACACTCTACCTAGTTCTAAAGTATTCTAGGAAAGTATTTTGCCAGTTCATAGTTTTTGTATGTTTACTGAGCTCCACCTTTTTGCTGATATATCTCTCCTGAACTCATTCTTGAGAAACTGTTCCTGTTTAATCTTCAGATTTAGCTAAACACTAAAGAAGCAGCCCTCTCCCACTCACAGAGGACCCACCTCAAAGATGTTGTATATAATTCTACACTTTTAAGAAGATTCCAGATTGCAGGCAAAAAACGACCTCATTCTTCTAAAAATCTAGAAGCCAGATTAGCTTATACATATAGGGATGCAGGAAATCTTCATTTCCCAGCTGGACTCTTAAGTATAATCTTTAAGTTAAAGCTAACATGATGATATATTTCACATTATGTAACATTCCACTAAGTGGCAATTAGGAGGTGCTAGGCAGGATCCTGTTTTCTAAGTTTCTTGTTTTACAGCACTGTTGTAGCATTTAAAGAATGAAAACAGTTTAAACTGCATCCCCCCCCCACCACCACCAAGGCAGAGATTTATAACATCACTCATGAAATAGTACATCATTTCCAATAATCAGAAATTTTCTGCTTCAGAAATAAATGAACCATAACAGATTTTTTTAAGCCACTGCAACCTATTTATAGTGAGACCAAAAAGATCATTGTTCAGTGAGATACCCAAGTGGCAGAAAAGACTGACCCTCTCTGTGTTTTGAGGATTCAGTGATGTAAGTTTGAGTTGAGGGTTTCAAATAGATTCTAGAGTTGAGAATGAGGACAAGGCCCCGATTACAGAATGATCCTATGTAAATGACCACACAGAATGAATGATAGTGTGCATGTGAATAGATGAGTATATTTCACACAAATAAAACCAATGAAGTCTTTATTTCAGCAGTCATGTATATACAATTAAAATGAGGTAAAACATTAGGAAACTATATGTTTCCTTTTAAAAATTGGATGAAAACATTCATTTTTTTTTACAAGTAGCTTATTTACTAAGATGTACTATTTCAATAGCTAGCAATCTAATCAGTACAATCCCTTTAGGTTGATTGGGAAGACTATATTACACTTTCAGGATACTGTAATCAATTCTTTTCTAGTTTCAAAAAACATTATATATATATATATATATATAAAATACAATATTTAAATACAATATTTTTTCTATATTTTCTACTCCCACAGAGTAGAAAAATGTCTTCGAACATATATAGGCAAAATCCCGCATTTTCTCATTCAATCCTCAATAATTTGGAGACATAAGCATTTTTAGTCAATCATTTAAAGAAACCAAGACTTAGGCACACCGTGTAATATGGCTAAAAGGGTGGTCAAAGCCAAACTGCCAAACTGCTTCCTCATCCCATTTCATTGTGCATGATTTTCTGATCAGGACATAAGAATAAAAGACATATAACTTGCAAAGCTTCTATGGTGATATTTTAAGTGGTTTATATAGTTTTTCTTTTCACACATTTTCAAACTTTTCCTGAAAGGACTTAGACAATTGTTCAAATGCTAGAACAACGTTGTCGTCTTCATTTTCACAGAGTTCACGCAAGGAGACACTACAAATAGAAGAATACATATATACATATACTATTAGTCAACTAAGTGACATTGAGTACTATTAAAAAAAAAAAAGACTGTCCTGCAAAATGATAAGATAGGATTAGCAAAGTATAAGGAATACTGACAAGAAACAAATTTACTCACCAAATAATATGTACACAAAAAAGAGAAAGAAATAGGAAACTAAGACAAAGTGTTCCAGGCAGTGCCTTTATTACCCAAGGGTAATTGAAAGGCTACCAAACTCTATGTCATTTGATCCTTGCTTCCTTAGGTAGTACAACACAAATTTCTTTTCTCTGCATACCACATGCACATATTTTTTTTTTTGCTATTGTGTTCAGAATATACTGTAATCCACTATGGAGAAGAAAAGCTTCCTTTCTTTCTCTAGGTAGGTGAGAGAAAAAAATGAAAGTGGGATGTGGCCAGTAGAACAATGGTCCTCATCTAATTCAGAGGTCCTCACCTAAATCCCCAGAAACCTATAAGTCATTTTAGATTCCAAGGCAAAGGGGAATTACCATCACAGATCATAGTTAATCTTGAACACGGGATTCTGGATTCTCTATGTAGAACTGACGGAATTCTCACAGGTGCTCATGGGTGTGAGGAAGGAGAGAACTGACATCAAAGGAGTGAAATGTGGACACTTGTTACACAATCTCAGCTCTCTCTACTGAACATCCCTGGCCTCAAAGACAGAAAGAAATGGTGAGCCAAAGATGCAGGCAGCCTCTAAATTTGGGAAAGAGCCAAGGATTTCCCGTAGAGTATTCAGACACCTAATTTTACCCAATGGAACACACTTGACTTTTGACCTCCAGAATGGTAAGATGATACATCTATATAGGTTTATATCATTAAGTGACAACTTGACCCATCAGCATTAAAAATCTGGTGCACGGGCATGAAGAAATGGAGAAGAAACACAAAACGGAACAGTTCATAGCAAGTAGCCTTGGCTGAAATCTTATTTGCCTTTCATTATTTAGTGTTTTGTCCCTACTAGAGATCCATCTTTAGTGATCTACCACCAAAATGAAATGTCTATCTGCAACATTAACTTATTTCTCCTGAGTTACAGACTTATCATTGTGATGTCTTCTGATATCCACAGATAAAGACCAGAATGATGTCCTCTGATATCCACAACATATATAAATTCTAAGTCACTATCTTTGTACTTCCCCACAAATGTCATTTTCACTCTGTAGTGTGTGTGTGTGTGTGTGTGTGTGTGTGTGTGTGTGTGTGTAAGAGAGAGAGAGAGAGAGAGAGAGAGAGAGAGACTCATTAACAATAATTTAAACCTTGGTCATCTTAACCCACTATATAAACTTCAGATTTAATGTCTCAATTATAAATATTTGTCAAATTAATATTCTGAATTATCCTTCTGTTTCCTTAATTCAGACCTTCATTCATTTCTGATCACCCTTACTGTTACAGACTCTGAGACAATCTGACATATCTCTACCACACACTCAAACTGTAGATCTATGCCACACTCATTCTTATAGCCCTGTTTCCATGATGCTCAAAATATGCAGCCAGAATTCTAAACTGTAACACTGAAGTATCTTCCTGAAACAGACTCAAACTTCTCTGGAACCATAAGCGAAACACAATACTTTCTTCTACAAGTTGCCTTGTTTATGGTGTTTTATCACAGCAACACAAAAGTAACTAATACAAAGACTATAGGGTTTATTTTTCCCCCAAAGGGTGGGAATAGATTTAACAATCCTTGTACCTCAAGTATGTGAAAATGTCTCAAACCAATAATAACGCCCACGCTGGTTAGATGAATGAATGAATGTTTATTTTTCAGTCTGACTTTGGACACAGCTCTAGGATCTCTGGAGGTTTCTGGATTGCTCTTAAGATTATACCTTGGGTAACTATGAGGCACCTTGCCTGGAGATACTACAAACCAATGATTATCAACCTGTGGATCATGACCCCTTTGGGGGTCACATATCAGATATCCTGCATATCAGATATTTAATTTCAGTTATGAAGTGGCAAAATTGAAATAAAAAATGAAATAATTTTATGATTGGGGGTCACCATAATAGGGTGAACTGTATTATAGGGATGCAGCATTAGGAAGGTGGGGAATCACTGCTATAGATAGACAAAGCTATTCCCTTCTGCTCTTGTATGTTTCAAATTCACTCTGTGTATATAAAAAATCCATATAGGCCTAATTCAGTTCTGATCAATGAAATAAAACAAAGAATTGCTTATTAAGGATGCAACAATGTTGAGATTTATGGTCACTTGAATATACCTGTGAAAAAATAATCACTGCTAAAGTGCTGGAATGCATTTAGATGTGAGGGATTAGGATGATAGTCATATACCTAGTTGACATTATATGGCCAATGGAGCCTAAGGATGGGGTGCTCACATAAAGTTTGATAATGCTTGGGATTAAGCAGGCTTTGTTGCAGATCAAAACAGGAAGTGACTATGCATTGACAGTCAGACAATGCCTGAAGAAAAATAGGTTGTAGCAAGAGACTCAAGGGCAAGCACATGCTATAACCTGGAGACCTGATGGCACCTCAGAAACATCATATATTTGACATGAGTTTACAATTGGGATCATTAAGAATATTAGGATCTGGGGTCAGTAACGCTCCTGAATAATTTTCTGTTAGTGTGTAGTGCCTGAGCCTGAGACAAATGTGGATGGACCTTAATCACCAAAATAGTATGGAATTAATGATATTACAGAACATAACCAAGAGGTTGTAGGGATGGGGAATTCTATATACTCTCTGGGAAGTTGAAATGCATGATATGTAACAGGCTCGATGATACTTTTACATAATTGGTTCAAGGAAAAAAAGTCTCAACATTTTCAAACTACAGTTAAATTTTTGAAAAACAGGAAAGTAATATTTCAACATGTAACATACCTGATAGATTTAATAGTAAGGAAAAAATCTTTCAACAAGTAGTAAGCTGCCCCTTGATGTAACCTAAACAACAGAAAAACAAATTAATGACTCAAAATTATTTACTATTATTTTTACACCCATAAATTAAGGCTATCTTGGCTATGATCACAGAAGCTGGGTTTTTATTGTTGTTGTTTTTTGTTTTGTTGTACAATGGATGGCTCACAGTTGGTCACAGTGTTGAGAAAAAGAGACTGCTGAGCACTAATACCTACTTGGAACATCTATGTTACCCCACCAAGGCAGGGCATCACAGAAGAGGAGACAAAAAGAACTAAAAGCTGGATCTGAGAGGGGTGCTGTGACAGGCTCTCTTTGGGGCATGGTGTGACTCATGAACTTACAGCAACTAAGGTCGTCTGCACAGGGTCTGCACAAGATTGGGACCATTAACACTCAGGCATGCATGAGAGGTTCATAGGACAACTAGTTTCCCAAGGGAGGCACAGGGCCCTATGAGCTAAAGAAGGGAGAATCATTTTCTTCGGTATTGTAGTCACTGCTGAGGTCCCCTGTGCTCCACACTCATGCGGGCAGCCCTGGTAAAACTCAGTGGGTCCCAAAATGAAAGCAAAATGAAACTCAAAGACTCAGAAATGGAAGGCTGATTTGCTGGAGTTGAGCAGCACAATTGGGGAGAAATACAAGAATGAGGGAGGGGATTTAGTCATAATAGTTTATATACAGTTATGAATTATCAATGAATAAGGTTTAAAAACAAACAAAAGTATTATCTACTAATGCAGCAGCTACTCTACTCACAACAAGAAATAGCGAATAACAATTTAATAAACAAAAGTGTTCCAGGTTTCTGAGGGCGATCCAAACAGTTTATTCCTTAGCTTAACAAGAATTACTAAAATTTTATGTCAACCGTATCTTTAATCCCTTAGTGTATTTGCCTCTAGATGTATGTGTGTAGCACTTGGACCAATATCTCCCTTGCTCAGAGATATTTCCCTGGAAGTGAATATCTAATATGCTTAGCATTACTAATTATTTCTTGACATTACCAGGAAAGAAGATACCCATTGGCCTGGTCAAACCTCACAAGGGATCCACGCCGACAGCAGTCAAGTGCGTCTGTGCTAAGCGGCAGTTTTCTTCCTCGACTGTCCAACTTTTGTGGCCAAAACACTGTGTCCACACCAACTGTGTGCACAGTGACCTAAATAATGCTTCATCCTGCTTACACTTATAGAAATGGCTTCCCTAACAACGAGCTAAATTAACTCTCTCAGGACCAGATAGGTAAACTAGATACTTTATATTCTCTCAGGCTTTAAGCGATACCAGATGGCTATTTGCCATTATGTTTAAAATACCAAATGATGCCTAAGTAGAAGTGTAATATAAAATATATTGAATATTCACAAAGATACATTTAGACTACATATTTAGGGCAATTGAGTTGGCCTAGAAATAAAAATAGTATAGAGTACGTCATCATCTTTGCCATCCGTCTGGAAAGGAAAATTTAATATGCTTGGCAGGGCTAACCATTTCTTGGAACTTTCAGGAGAGAACATACCTATTGTCCTGATCTAACCCCACAAGGGATCCATGCTTATAGAAGTCCAGAGCATAGGCGTTAAGTGGCATTTTTCTTCCTCTACTATCCAATCTGTGTGGCCACAGCACTGGGGCTTGATTGTGATTGATACCAATTGTGTGCAGAATGACCTAAAGAAATAGATTTTTTAGATGGTTATTCACAAGGAGAGAAGGGTTGCGACCGATAACTTGAATTTCATATTCATCCACGCTTTTCAAGAGCACTCAGTTGGTAGAAGAGCAGGGGCCTTCTACACACACTGAGACAGTCCATCCTAGAGCATGGCTTAGCTCCACCTGTGAAGAGGATTGTCTCCAGAGCATGCTGATGGCAAGTCCACCAGACTAGGAAAGAAAAGTTAATTGAAAAACTTTAAGTCTCCTTAACAATTCAGAGAATACCTTTGCAAGTGGAGTTTCAGAGAACTGGAGGCCTGCATGTCACAAGAGACTACTTAACTGAACAAGTATAATGGTCTTCAGAATCAACAGCCAGAATAACGAGTAGAGAGAGGATAGAACAAAAACAATATAAAAAGGAAGAAAGCAAGTAAGTTTTCTGTGCCTGTTCGTATTGCAAACTTTGCCTCATGTGACCAACAAGAATTCTGATATAGGGCTAGTGATGCTGTAAACAGGCCCAACTACATTCTAGAGTGTAGTTATTTGTTTTTTCTTACTCTTTATTCTTTGCTCCTTGGGGGCCCACCACCCAGCACCCAAATAAATCACACAGAGACTTATTCTTACTTATGAATGCCCAGCCTTAGCTTGACTTATTTCTAGCCAGCTTTTCTTAAATTATCTCATCTATCTTTCCCTCTGGGCCTTTATCTTTCTTATTTCTGCATACCTTTCTTTACTTCTTACTCCATGGCTTGCTGTGTAGCTGACTGACTGGACCCTGGAGTCTTCCTCCTTATCCTCCATCTCTCTTCCCAGATTTCTTCTCCTGTTTATTTTCTCTGCCTACCAGCCCCTCCTATCCTTTCTCCTGCCTTGCTTTTGGCCTTTCAGCTCTTTATTAGACTATCAGGTGTTTTATACAGGCAAAGTAACACTGCTTCACAGAGTTAAGCAAATGCAACATAAAAGAATGCAACACATCTTCCCATCATTAAACAAATGTTCTACAACATAACAAATGTAACACATCTTTAACTAATATTCTACATCACTAGAGTGGTTTGGGAGCCATGGGTAGTAGACATGGACATTTTAATATTTTTATTTTGTTATGGCCCAGAAAATCTCCACCCAAGAGAAAGTTGCACACATGCCCCAGACATTAATACCAACCCTGTTTGTCGCAACAGAGAACTATAAACTGATCAAACATCGACAGAAGACAAAGTAATTCATAGTTTTATATTATGAAGTATTATGGAGTGTGGAAAATAAACTAGAGCTCCATGGCAAAACAGGTATGTATATTATAGACATAAAACTAAAGACAGCAAAAGATACTTTCAGAAGAATACCATTAACCATTCCTTCAGTCTTCTAAAATAAAACACAAGCATAAATAAATACTCATTTGTAAAATGAATTCTTTTAAGAATAATTTGGAAATTTCAGTAACTATAGTGGAACACAAGAAAATGAAATAAAAGTGAGTCATGAGTTCTAGGTTCACGGGTACCCACTATGTGTATTCCTCTCTTTGTAAGCCACCCAGAAGCAATAGAATATAGCATCAAACTGTAATAAATAATACAAGTAAGTGAAATTTCAAGATATTACAATATACCCTAATTAAAAAAATATGTAAAGTGAATTGGGTCAAGCAAAAAGCAGGGTATGATCAAATAACATTAATCTAAATACCTATGTCAGATGCTTCAAAATGAAGGAAAGAGAAGTAGAAATTTTTTTCTAGAACTCCATGGGCAGCAAGGGTGAGTGGGAATGAGTTCATGCATATATCTATGCCTCTTCTAATGCTGATTTTGCAGTAACAAGACACAGACTTTCTAGTTTATTCTATCAGCACCCCTCTGAATTGCCATGGAAACTCTACATGTACAAAGGAAGTAAAAGTGATTGTTACATTTGATAAATTGAGTTCATTACAGAATAAATGGAAAGGGGAATTATTTTGATATCCTCCTCTCTCTCCTTCTCTCTTCCACCCCCTTCTTGTCTTGAAACAGGAACACACTCTAGCCCTGCCTGAAACTCATTATGTAACAGACCAATTTGTAGCAATCCTCCTGTCTCAGCATCCCCCGTGTTGGGATTATGGGCATGAGCCATCACATCCATCTTGGGAAAGGAAAACTGTTATGCTTAAAAATTAATGTTGGTTTTTCAGTGTACTTAACTACCAGTCTCTTACATATCCAACTAGTTGTTTATAGTCATCCATACAAAATAAAGAAATCAAAACTCCTAAAACATTTTTCTTAAAAGTTATTTGTCTTGATATGCCATGGCTGGCTGATCTACATGGGAGGCCTGCACTTTTCTGAAAAGAAAGGAGAAGGAATGAATGGCTGGCGGGGGAAGAGGGGAGGTTGGGGAGGGACTGGGAGGAGAGGAGGGAGGGAGGGAGGGAAAACTGTGATCTGTGATCGGGTTGGGAAAATTAATTAATTAATGAAAATATTTTTCTTACAATAGGAAGTATAATTTTTTATCATCTGCATGCTTGCTTTCCACAGCTTTGACAACTGTCTGTTACAATATACCACTCAGACTGGAGCAAAAGCCCCCCAGAGACTAACTAATACAACATATCCACTCTTCACTTACGTTATTTGGAACTCCTGGACAGAGCAAATCCACATCAAAGTTTCCAGACAGACAGACAAATGGCGAAACTGCCACCCGGCCTTCCCCGCAGCTCATCAAGTGGGACACAAGTGGTGAATCTTCACATTCTTCCCCTGTGAAATCTGGCCAGAAAAAGTTGAGATAGAGCCCTGCTTGCTGTTCTTCTTTTAGTTTTTTTTTGCTTGTTTGTTTGAGAAAAGGTCTCCCTACATATCTCCAGCAGGCCTAGAACCGTCTGTGTAAGCCAGACTGATCATAGAGATCTACCTGTCGTCTAGAGATTCCCCTGCCTCTGAGTGCTGGAATTAAAGGCAGGTGCCACCATGCCAGGAAGATTCACTTCCCTGTATGAGAGCTAAACCAAGCTAAAAAGGGAAGCCATTGGACCTAACAGGGACCACATCACAAGGACAACAAATTGGTATAACACATACTGAACAGCCAAGCCAGTTTGTGATGGGATACATGTGGTGATATTTTGTTGGACCCTAATAAAATTTGCCTGAAGATCAGAGAACAGAACTAGTCACTAGACTAAACACAGAGGTCAGGCAGTGGTGGCATACACCTATTGGGGGATTTATTAAGGTAACTCCATGTAGTTAAAAAGGTTTATTTCCGGGGTAACTTACAGCTAGTAAAAGGGTTGGTTACAGGGATCTGGGAGAGTTGAGGTGCAGTCTAGCTGGGTTCCCTGGGGAGAACTCTGCTCAGTCTACCATTCAGCACCCAGGATTACCAGGAACCAAAGAGCTGGCAATCCAGATCTCAGATCTTAAGGGCTCCCATCTTGGCCTTGCCTCAGAGGCAAGTCATAGGTAGGCATGACAGTTACCAGAAGCCTCACTGGGGGTAGTACTTCCAGGTCAAATCTGGAACAGCTACCCACTACATTCACCTTTAATCCTAGAACTCAGGAGGCAGAGAGCTGTTTGGATCTCTGTGAATTCAGAGCCACCCTTGATTATATGAAATTGACTCAGTCTAGGAGAGAAACATAACTAGGCAATGGTGACACACACCTTTAATCCCAGCACTTGAGATCTCATACTTCTGCTACCAGTATTTGGGAAGCACACAGGCCTTTAATCCCAAATTTCAGAAGTAAGAAGTAGCAGAGTCAGGAAATCTGCCCAAAGTCAACATCAAGCCTCTCTGAAAAGTGCTCATAGAATTCCTCTTGTTTCTCTTGTCTCAGATATATATTTGCTCTATTTTCTAGGAATGACCCAAAGTCAGCCCTCAATCAAAACAGTTTATAAATAATTTAATTTGGTTTTAGCATCATTCTCCACTGCCCTTTTAAATGCCTATCTCCAACTTTTTTTTTTTTAAGTAGAAAGAGCCCAACTATTCTAAGGCATGCTGACTTTTCTAGAGTGCCAGCATTCTGAGATGTAAAAATGGTACAGTTGGAGCCCTACCACTGACCTCATCCCTAACATCCCTATTACATGTCCTTGGGCAAGACCATTACTAAATCACTTCACAGTGGAACTAAAACACACTTACCAATTTTTGACAAGGGAAGTTGATATTCCTGTTTCATATCAGCCAATCGGGACACAATTAGCAGAAAAGTAGCAAAGTCCTCTGTCACTTGCATGTTGTACTCATGCAGGGCAGCACTAAAGTCCTCAGGGAGGTCATCAAGGAACACCTAAAAGCCAAAGGTTTTTCAGAGAGAGAGGAGAATACTTGCCTTAAAAAACTGAATATTTGGAGCAGTGAAGGAAAAGACCACATGGTATAATTCAATTGTTTTCAATAAAGCCACTTTTTCTTCTTTTCTTGGTTAAACTGGGGTTAAACGTTTTTTGTCCTTATTTGCACTTGTAAAAAATAGATACTCTACTCATAATGTTTACTCAGATGCTACTTAATCAAAATGACTTTTGTTAAAGTAGAAGCGTGTCCTCAACTGCCACTGGACTCATGAGTAATTTCAAAGAATCTAGGAACACATTTGTAGAGAAAAGAAGAGAAAACATATTTTCAGGCTTGGAATCAACTCCACCTGGTTGAGAGGTTCTGAGACTCTCACTGTATTCAGCATGCTAACACTGTTAATCACTTTCAATCTGTACACATGAAAGTGCTGTATCTCTAAGTTTCTTCTTTTGTTGTTTTGTGAAAGTAAACTACAACCTAGAAAGCATGCCCTCACAAAGCATCTTCATCTAAGACTTCTGGATTTGAGGAACTGTGAAGAAAAGAATTCTGCCTTTCTCAGCCATGCCATCGGTGCTACATCCTAAGAGAATCAACTCAAAACACCAAGAAGAGCAGAAAGGGTGCTACGAATGAGCTCCTGGAAATAAATACAATTGATTTAATTAAATGGACAATGCACCTTTTCAAAAACGACCAACCAAGATGAAAAACTGTTTCTAAGATATAGTTTTTAGATTATAAGATTAGACTTTAGGAATCAAAGGACAATTTCCCAGATAACTTTGTAAAACTTTCTCAGAGATGACACTATGACGTACAGTCATATCTCAAAACATTCAACAATGAGGATGGCTTTGGGGCTTAACTGCCCCCAAATACCTTCATTTTCTATGTGTATGCACATGAACATGTGTGTGGGTGCTCTCCGCCTTACTTTTTGAAGCAAGGTCTCTCAGCATTCCTAGAGTTCTCTCCAATTAGGCTAGTCCCAGCCAGCTCCAAGGATCCAGACTTCTCTGCCTTTTCAGCTCTGGGATTACAAGCTGTGTCACCATGTATAACTTTTCGTGTGGGTACTGGGGGTCCACACTCAGATCCCCACGCTTGCATGGCAAGCACAGTATAAAGTCATCTTCCCAGTCCCTGTATGCCTTTTCATTAATGCTGTATTTTGATGCAATCAATTAAAAACATGAATATACTTTCATCCTAGTTATCCTTAAGGCATGTAACCTTTGAACATTCACAGAGTGACATTTGAATTACAGATAAATATCACCACACTATTTCCCAAAGAAACATTAGTACATAATGAAAGACCCTAACCCTTCAGGCTTACACCCCCCAAGCCCCAGGAGAATAAGGAACTAAAAAAGCTAGTTCCAAGGGCCACCTGACTTAGCCATTATCCAACCCCCCCCCCCCCCCCCCGCCACAATGAAACAATATAAAGAGATTTCTATTAAGAGATGCGCTCAACTGTGACTGGGATAATTGCAAGTGTTCCAGGAAGGACCACTGTAACCTTTGTATAAACTTCACTCCCACCCTGATACCCCCCTTGAGGTTTCTGGAAGAATGTGCATGCGGATGTGACTGTACCCCCTCTGTGATCAGACCATGATCTTGAGAAATTAGCCTCTAGACATAAATCAATCGAAACGAAATTGTATGGGAATTTTAATCTTGTGGCTTTTCCTTTAAAAGTACCTATGTGGCTGCAGTAAGATGCAACTCTTGCTCTCAGGACAAGAGTAGCCTGACTGTACAGCCGCATCAACAAACCTCGTGATGTTGCATCAACTGGACTGGAGTCTGGGTTCTTGGGGCACCCACTTGAGACCCTGGATTTTGGGGTCTATCATTAAAATACATTAATTACCCCATATTCATAAAGTCCTGTTGCTACTGAATCATTTCTGGCAGAATTTGTATACTATTATTAACTAATTTTATCAGAAGATTTTACCTTTGATTGATAAAACTTGATGTTAGCATCTTGAAACTTGGCCGGAATATATACCCTTCCAAAAAGATTTGCCAATACTAAAACCAGCTTTTCCATTACATCTTCAGAAAAATGCTTTGAGCCTGTACAAAACAAAAGCTCCATGTTATACATGTAGAAAATTGTTATATCAATTTTTTCATGTTTAAAATAAATGTTATGTTCATTTCACAGCAACTGTAGAATATCTCTAGCTGCACATGCTTCTCACCTGAGCCTTTTTATGCCTGCTTTTACCTTCATTAACATCCTTATCTTACCTACTACAAATTACCTTCTGTTCTGATCTAGGCTTTGCTTACTTTGACCCATCTCCCAGGGGAGACCAAATTTATGGCTGTGTCTTTATTTATTATGACTGTCTTTGTCAGTGCTCTGTGGCTGTAAGGAGACACAAGGACCATGGCAACTCTGATAACAAGTCAGATAACTGGAGCTTGTTTACAGTTTCAGAGGTTTTGTGTATTATCCGCACAGCAGGGAGCCTGGTGGCACACAGGCAGCCATGGTGCTGGAGAAGTAGTTGAGAACCTAAAAGCTGGTTAAGCTTTTAGGCTTTTGAAACCTCAAAGCTCCCTGTATGGGATTTATTTTTAAAGACTTTGCCCAATATGGGCAAAAATTTAATATGTATAATTGACTTTAAACACATAACTAATGCAATATCAGTTATTGATGTATACTGTATACTTATATTCAAAGAAAATAATGTTACAGACAATATTCACAGACATTAGTAGTGATTATCTGTGGGTAGAATTTTGGGTTTTATATTTTAACAATGCTTTCCTGAGCTGTTCTTCAAAACTGATCATATATTATATTTAATTACAAGGAAATGTTTTATAAATATTGTATATCATTCAGCATGTTCAGAATCCTAGTGGTAACACACTTTTCAAGTTACAACTTGCAGTGGTGAATATTTTAAAGTCATTGTCACAAAATAGAACCTCTATTAGTACTTATTTAACTTTATTTTATTTGTAAACCTATAATTTGTCTATATAATTAACATTCTTTTAATTACCAACCTTTTAGTTAAAATGAACAATAATAAGATTTTTATACATATATTATTAAACTTAACTGATACTCGCTCAAGTGATTATTGAGTAAAGGTATTCCTGAAGTTCTAGTTTTTATAAATCTATCAGTTTTTTTCCCACCATGGGAAGATTTTACACACACACACACACACACACACACACACACACACACACATAAAATTTTACATGTTTATAATATATATCACATTATACCATATATTATTTGGTATATGGCTATATACTAATAATAATATATTATTTATATGCCGTATGATATGATAATATTATTTCCCTGGTACACAGACACACACACAGACAATGGAACCCTCAAACTTACCTTTATAAGTTGGCTGACAAAGATTATGGAAAAGACCTCTCACAAGAAAACTGACAAAAACAAGATTAGATGGTTCGTGGTAATGTAAATGTGACACCAGGCCGGCAAACCCTGTCGGATTACCTTCTTGATCTATATATCCCTAAAGAACAAAAGTAATTTGTTATTTTGACTCCACTCGCAGAATTAGTAACAAGTAGATTATTTATTATCAGTTTAAAATAATACATATCAACAAGATGGTCTTACCTGGCCCAATTTTAATAATTAAATGAATTACAAGTAGCAATACTCATTGGGTATTGTCATCTAAAGATTGCAATAATGCAGCGTGGTTAAAAACAAAAATCTAGGGCTGGAGAGATGGCTCAGCAGTCAACAGCTCTTGCTGCTCTTGCAGAGGACCTGAGCTCAGTTTCCCAGAATCCACATTGAGTGCCTCACATCTAGCTACAACTCCAGTTTCAGGCTTTCTCATACCCTCTTCTTGTCTCTTCATGGGCACCTATACACATGACATCTACTCATACATACATACATATGTAGATAAAAATTTTTAAAACTTAAAAAAAAAAACCCAAGTCTGCTACTTTAAAAAAATCTAGATAGAGCCGGGCGGTGGTGGCACATGCATTTAATCCCAGCACTCGGGAGGCAGAGGCAGGTGGATCTCTGTGAGTTCAAGGCCAGCCTGGTCTACCAAGTGAGTTCCAGGAAAGGCGCAAAGCTACA